CTGTGTTGTTGTTGAATTCCAATTTTAAAGCATGGTGGTCCGATAAGATACAGGGGACTATTCCTATTCTCTTGTATCTGTTGAGGTTTGTTATATCTCCTAGTATGTGGTGGATTTTAGAGAAGGTTCCATGTGGAGCAGAGAGAGAAGGTATATTCTTTTGTCTTTGGATGGAATGTTCTATAGATGTCTGTTAGCCCCAGTTGAGACATAACTTCTGTTAATTCTTTTGTTTCTTTGTTGAGTTTCTGATTTTTGGTCCTGTCTAGTGTTGAGAGTGGTGTGATAGAAGTCTCCCACTATAAGTGTGTGAGGGTTTATATGAGCTTTGAGTTTTGGTGGTGTTTCTTTTACTAATGTGGGTGACTTTGTATTAGGGGCATAGATGTTCAGAATTGAGACTTTGTGTTGATGGATTTCTCCTGAGATGAATATGAAATGACCGTCTTCATCTCTTTTGACTAATTTTGGTTTGAAGTCTAACTTGTTAGATATTAGGATAGCTACGCCTGCTTGCTTCTTATTTCCATTTTGATTGGAAAATCTTTTCCCAACCCTTACCCTGAGGTAATGTCTATCTTTGGAGCTAAGATGTGTTTCTTGTATGCAGCAGAAGGATGGATTCTGTCTTCGTATCCATTCTGTTGTTCTGTGTCTTTTTGTATAGGTGAGTTAAGACCATTAATGTTGAGGGTGAGTAAGGTCCATTGAATGTTGATTCTTGTTTGATTTAGGTTTGTTGTTGGCAGTGGTATCTGTGAATATATTTGTTCTGCTTCACCCTAGGTTTCCTGGTGTAGTTGGATTATCTGTTGCCTACATTTTTGTGGGGGCGTAGTTACTTCCTCTTGGGTAGGAATTTTCCTTCCAATACTTTCTGTAGGGCTGGATTTGTAGAGTAGCATATTGGGAAAATCTGGTTTTTGTCATTGAATATCTTGTTCTCTCCATCTATATTGACTGAGAGATTTTGTTGGATATAGTAGCCTAGGCTGGCAATCATTTGTGTTCTCTCATACTCTTGAGAACATCTATCCAGGACCTTCTGGTCTTGAGGGTTTCCATGGGAAGTCAGGTTGTAATTTTGATAGGTCTGCCTTTATATGTTACCTGTCCTTTTTCCTTCAGCTGCTCTTAATATTTCTCCTTTCTTTATTCTGTATGCTAGGTGTTTTGATTTATATTATCTTTCGATGGAGTCTTTTTTTTTTGGTCCAGCCTATGGGTTTGGTATGCTTCTTACGCAATTTTCATGGGCATGTCTCAGGTTCCAGATTTAGAAAGTTTTCCTCTATTGATTTTGTTGAATATGTTTTCAGCATGCTTTGAGCTGGAAGCATCCTCACCTACCTCTAAGCTTATTACTTCTTAGGTTTGGGCCTTTCATCATCCTTGTCCCACCATGTTTGTATCTAAGATTTGTTGGATTTATAGATTTTCTTTGGTCGATGAATCTAATTTCTTACTAGTTTATCTTCTGCACCTGAGATTCTCTCTTCTATCTCTTGAATTTGTTAGTGGTTATGCTTGTGTCCGTGGTTTCCGATTTTTGCCCAGCTTTTAATTTTCCAAGCTTCTCCTTCCATTTTGTGTTGCCTTTATTTTCAATTCTGGTTTTCAAGTCTTGAATTGTTTCTTTCCACCTGGCTTAATTGTTTTTTTCCTTGGCTTTCTGTACTTTCTTTATGGAATTTGTTCATTTTTCCACTTTTTTGTTTGTTTTTCCTCCATTTCCTTTAAGGTATTTTCTCACATCTTCTTTGAGGGCCTCTATCATTTTTATGATGGTGATTTTTTAGTTGTACCCCTTCTGCTTCCTCTGCTTTGTTGTTCGTGTTCCATTCTAGTTGGTGTAGATTCCCCTAGATTCTGGTGGTGTTTTTGTATATTTGTCTTTCTGTTGTTGTTAGAGTGTCTCTTGTATTGCCTTCTTCCCATAGTTTCTTCTAGCAGGTGTTGGTGGTGTCTCTTCCCTCTGTCGGTCCTTTTCCGATGGGCTTATGTGGATCAAAGATTCAATATCTGTAGTCTGTGTTGGTCCAAAAGCCTCTAGGAGGTTTCACCCCGGCCAACTAGCCGGCAGAAGAGGATTCAGGGGCTGGGCTGGAACTTGAGAAGAGTTTTCCAGAGGTAGTGGGATCTCATTGGAACCTAAGCGCCTCTCCAGCTGAGGACCACCTCGTTCTTTGGCAGGGCCCGGATTTGGGAAGGTCAAGGATCTTCCGAGTTTGCTTATTTTTAATGGTTTTTTTCTTGTATTGCTTTTTCTTTTTCTGACTTTTTAACAAAAAATAAAGCTCTACATAAGTCTACCAATTTACCTGGATTCACTTTCCATCATCTCTATATTTTTTTCATTACTAGCATTAAAACCAAGGGCATTTTGAAAAAGTTGAATGTATCTCCAACTATAAATTCTCAATTTTTTAAGTCAAAGTTTTATGAAAAGAATATTGTTTGATTGAGACATTTAATGCTTGTTTGCCAAATTTACCTGATCATTCTCACAGACTGGAAGCATTTTGCAAGAATCACCTTTAAACCTTAATGTACCCTGTAGTGATGGTTACAGATTCACTAGATACCTTTGTCTCTTTTGGCTTGATGCTAGAGCTTCTCCTCATGGCATTAGAGACACATGGAATTGGAAGGATAAAATCCCCCACCTTTCTGAAGCTAATGCTTTCTTGGTACCTCTTAGCCAAGCTGGGAAATTCAAAGCTTATTTGATTTAAATCCCTTTGTCTAGTTTAAAATCTGTGTAATATTATTCATGTTAAAGGCTATACCAAAACCTAATGAAATAACTACCTTCAGTAATTTTCAAGTAAGTCTTGGATAGCTATTCTCTAGTAGACTTAACCTTATATTAAGTACAACATTTAGACTCAATCATCATCATAGAGTCTGTTATCAGATGCATAAAGATAAACAGAAGAACTAAAGTTTTTATATTTCCCCCAAAGTGCAAATCACAGCAAATATATGCTTATTAAAAGGTAGTCAAGATTCAGCACTAATATTTTCTTGCTTATTAATTGCGGGACATAAAAAGATTCAATAATAAGAAAACAGTCAAGTATAGCCAAAAGGTGTAATTAAAAGACAGACCATAAATTTGATCAATGTGTCAATAAATGCCAGTTCATCCATTGTCTTTACAAAGCTATCTAGATATACTAGTTACCCCTGTTTTTCTCAGTGAAAATTTGCCTTATATCCTTAATTGCCAAATGAGAAAATGTTCCACACCATAGAATTCATTGTTTAAAATTACAAGTCTTTATATAAATCAAAGCAGAAATTACACAGAAGAATTGAATTTGTATTTTATAGAAACTATGGTTTCTGAAGTTGACAAATGGAAATTGCAGAAAAAATAACTTAGAGATAAAATCTGTAATTAAGCGTGATAATGAAAGTAAGTTGAATGAACAAAGTAAGGCAGAACCCAACAAATCATAGCTGTAGAAGAGTTATTCCAAACCAATGGTGGAAAAACTATTATTGGTATTAAAAGTAGCAGGACATAATTTTAACAATTCTTCATAAAATTTCTTGCCGTTATGAAAATGGACATTACAAATGTCTTCTGTGTGTCTGGATTCTGATTCTGTAGGACATGTTCTCTTGGTGTCCTCCACTCTACCTGGCTATTAATCTTTCCTCCCCTCTTCCTCTGGGTTCCTGAATCTCCAACAGGAGTGACCTGATGGAACCTCCAATTTAGTCTTTCTCTCATGCATAATGCTTGCCTGTTAATCTCTGTATCCACTCCCATCTGCTACTACAGGAAGCCACTATTATGATGACTGGACAAGGCACCAATCTATGAGTCTAGCAGAATGTCATTAGGAATCATTTCATTGATTTGTTTTCAGTCCCTTATTTTATTCCCACCCTAAGTGCCTTGGCTCCCCAGTCTCTGGTTCCTGGCCATCCAGGTAGTATAAGGCAAAGCCTCACTCTCCTGGTGAGGACCTCAAGTTAAACCAAATAACAGTTGGCCACTCCTACAAGACCTGTGCCAATATTGTCCCAGCACATTTTACAGGAAAGAAAGATTTTAGGTGAAGGGGATTGTCCTGGATTGTTATCCTGGGTTTCTGTTTCCATAGCTTGCAGAGTACATTCTGCTAAATAGAATGTAGGGGTGAAGGCTCTAAGTCTGCACCAAATCAACCTTTGGACCAGGAAGTTTCTACTGCACTAGATTTCTACACCATTCCCCAAATGGCCCCTAATTCTAGTAGTCTCTTCTAGAACTCTCTCCCTCCAGCCACCCCCACAACTGGCCCTCCAATTCCCATCCCTTCCCCTCCTTCCCCCCCAGTCCACCCACAAAATATATTCTATTTCTCCTTCCCAGAAAGATTCATGCTTCTCCCTATAGCCCTCCTTTTTCCTAACCATTCTTGGTTTGTGGATTATATTACTTAACAGTTAATATTCACTTGTGAGTTAGTATATACCATATTTATCTTTCTGTGTCTGGTTTATCTCATTCAGGATGATATTTTTCTAGTTTCATCTATTTGCCTGAAAATTTCATGATGTCATTTTTTTAATCACTAAGTAATTATCCATTGCCCAAAATGTACCACATTTTCTTAATCCATCCTTCAGTTGAAGGACATCTAAAAATCAACAATTTGTTGCTGGGTTTTATATTCAGCCTGGATCCACCTAAACCCAATAAACACATGGAGACATATATTAATTACCAAACTGTTGAGCTAACACTAGGGCTTCTTATTGTCTAACTCTCTCTTGATTATTAACCCATAACTATTAATCTATTGTATTTCCACATGGTATATTCTTACTTGAGTAATGCCTGGATCTGATACTCCTTTGGTTGCACCATGGTTTCTCCTCCTGGCAGGCTCTCCCTATCTACCTTTCCCATAATTCTCCTTGGCTCTTAGTCCTGCATATCTTCCTGCCTCTATGCGGCCAAACAGTCTTTCATTCAACAACCAATAAGAGAAAACATATATACAGAAGAACATCCCCCATCAAATTTGTGTATCATGTTTGCATAGGGGCCATATTAATCTCTGCATTATTCCAATTTTAGTATATGTGCTGGCAAAGTAAGAACTTCTTATTCTTAAACAATAATTCTCAAAACAAACAAACCAACAAACTTTCCCCAGTAGATAACATTCCCAGAAAGTATCTAATTCCTACTGGCCAGCTAATGTGTTCCTTTTCAGTATAGAGCATGTTATATGAATCATCATACATGTCAAGGAGTAGGCAAATGTGTTGAGTTTTGAAATGTGTAATCAGATAGATACATGCTTCTGAAATATAGGGCTGTGACATCTCAGAATTGTATGGTTTCCCCAAAAGTCTCGAGAGACTGTGAATAATTCTCTGTGGCTCCTGGCTCAGTCCTTTGAGCATCTGGGTCTTTAACTCCCCCAATTCTACAAGCAGCAAAATGGTTGATAAAATTGGTTTATCAGGTACAACCTGTTCATAGTGGGCCCTAGAAACAGACAACTGGTACTTAACAAAAAAAAAAAAAAAAAAAAAAAAGAAAGAAAAGAAAGAAAGAAAAACCTGTATATAAGATAGACAAGTAAACCCAAATAGCATGTCCAATATCACTATGAGAATATAAATGAAGCCACAATTGAATATCATGTCATAACCAGTAAAACTGTAATCAGTAAGATGACAAAATAACCAATATTTAAAAGTGGTGTTGGAATGTATGAACTCCCAAACATCATTGCTAGGAACATAAAATGGCACTACAATAATAATTAGGAAATTTCTAATATATTAAACATATTTTCTCTTTTTTTTCCATTATGAAATTTTTTTATTTTTATTTTTATTTTACATATCGATCCCAGTTCCTCCCCTCCCTCCCTCTTTTCCTTCTCTCCCCATCCTCCCATGCCCCCCACCATCCTGCACTCCCATCCTGCCCCCCACTCCACATGTAGGTGTGATTCCTTACAGGGGGGGTCATCTAAATCTGTTACTTGGTTGTAGGGACTAGGCCTTCCCTCATGAATCCAGGTTGGGAGTATCCCTCCTGGAGAATGTGCTCCCAAAGTCATTTTGTGCAGGGATACATTAAGATTCCACGTCCGAGGTCCCTGAGTCTGCCCAGGCCTTCTAACTGAGACCCATGTTCAGGGGGTCTGAGTCGGTCCAATGCTTAGATTCCAAGATGCAGTCCAGGGGCCCATTAATTCCTCCCTTGTTCAGGTCAGCTGACTCTGTGTTTTTCACTAACCTGGTCTTGTCCTCCCTCTCTGTAACTGGATTCCAGATCAGTTCATTGTTTAGCTTTGGGTGTCTACTTCTGTTTCCATCATCTACTACATGAGGGCTCTATGATGGTGGATAAGTTAGTCATAATCTCATTGTCAGGGAAGGGCATTTATGGTATTATTTCCATTGTTGCTCAAATTGTTAGTTGAGCGTCAGTCATGTAGGTCTTTGGACATTTCTCTGAGTCAATTTTTCTCTTCAAACCATAATGACTCCCTTTTGTTGTTGTCTCTTTCTCTCTCTCTCTCTCTCTCTCTCTCTCTCTCTCTCTCTCTCTCTCTCCCCCGCTTCTTTCTTTTCTCTGATCTATTACTCCCTGAATTCGAATCAATCCTCTTCCTAGTCCCACTATGCTTCCCTCTCCTCCCCATTACTCTCCCTTTCTCCCCTAGTTCCCTCTCCATTCACTGCCCCCCACTCCCTATATGCTCAGGAGATCTTTTCCTTTCTCCTTCTGTGAGGGACCTTATATGAATCTCTTGGGAATCCTTCTTGTCTAATTTCTGCAGTGTGAATTAGTAGGGCTAGTGATCCTTTACTCTATGTCTAAAATCCATACATGAGTGAGTTCATACCATTTTCCTCTTTTTGTGACTGGGTTACCTCATCCAGGATAGTTTTTTTAAGTCCCTTCCATTTATCTCTGAATTTCAAAATTCCATTATTTTTCCCCCCGCAGAGTAAATACCCACATCTTCTTTCGACATTCTTCAGTCAAGGAGCATCTAGGTTGCTTCCAGGTTCTTGCTATTACAGGAGTACGGCTTCTACGAACATAGTTGAACATGTCTTTGTTTGCACTTGATGTGGATCATTTGGGTTTATGCCTAAGAGGGGAGAGTGCCAGGTCTTTGTGGTAGACTGATTCCCATTTTCCTGAGGAACCGCCATGGATTCCAAAATGGCTATACAAGTTTGCACTCCCACCAGCAGTGGAGGGTTTCCCTTTCTCCACATCTCTCCAGCATGAATTGTCATTCATGTTTCTAATTCAAGCCATTCTGGCAGAAGTAAAGATTTTATCTCAGAGTTGTTTTGATTTGCATTTCCCTGATAGCTAAGGATGTTGAACACTTTCTTAAGTGTCTTTCAGCCTTTTTGATTTCCTCTATTGAGAATTCTCTATTCAGCTCTGTACCATATTTTTAAATAGGGTTATTTAATGTTTTGGTGACTAGTTTCTTGATTTCTTGTATATTTTGAAGAACAGTTCTTTGTCAGATGTAGGATTGGTAAGATCTTTTCCTAGTCTGTGGGCTGCTGTTTGGTCTGTCAACTGTGTCCTTTGCCTTACAGAAGCTTCTCAGTTTGAGGAGGGCCTCATTTATTAATTAACCCACACCTACAAACACCTGATTTTTGACAAACAGCTAAAAGTATACAATGGGAGGAGGAAGGCATCTTTTAACAAACGGTATTGGCACAACTGGATGATGGTGTGTAGAAGACTGCAGATAGACCCATGTCTATTGCCATGCACAAAACTCAAGTCCAAATGTATCAAAGACCTCAACATAAATCCAGCCACACTGAACCTCTTAGAAGGAAGCAGGGAGGGACCTCTTGAACAAATAGGTACAGGAGATAGCTTCTTGAACATAACTCCAGTAGCACAGACACTGAGATTGACAATTATTAAACATATTTTACCACATCACCACAATTGCACTTCTAGAAATGAAACTATGGGACCACAGCAAGACTTGTGCCTCAATTTATAGATGTTATATTTGTTATTAGCCAAAAATTTAATATAGCTAAATATCCAGCAAATGGAAAATAGAAATAAATTTAAGATATACATTTAATAATATTACTTAGAAATATTAAAGCATAACACTGACATACAAAATAGATTGGTCTTTTAATCATGGTAGTAAAAGAAACCATGCATACAAGAGTTAGACAACACATTATCATTCATCAGCATGAATTATAGGAAAGGCAAACCTTTTATAGAAGAAAGCTGAGGTTTTCCAGTAACCAGGACTTTTAGCATTTGAAACCCAACCTTAGGGAACCTCCAAGGAGATATCTTAGAGTGAAAACAATATTTTAGGTATCTTTTGGTTATCATAGCTACTTGCTGTTCATTTGTAATAATTCTTGCTTTTGTAATCTTTAAAGTTAATAGATAGTTTCTTGAAAATAAATCATATTTGAACTGGTTAAAAATACAACTTATTGACAAATATTTAGTGCAATTATCTATACACTAATAATCGTTAATTTGTATTCAATTTAACTTTATTACAATAATAAAAATAATGAGCTATGTTTAGAACTACTCTGAACCTACCACTCTTATACTCCACATAGGTCCATACAACTCCCCACATGAACATTATTGATCTGGTGACTTTTCCAATGACAGTGTGGTGGGGAACCAGGTGGATTACTGTGAAGGAACACAGCTACAGAATTACTAGCAGTAGCTCACACAAGAAATTAAGAGTCTCTACAGGCCTGATTTGAAAGACTGTTTGATTTTTAAATTATTAACGACTTTCATGATTACTTACTTGCTTGCCTGTGTAGGCATTTACCCTTGGCATAATCCTGCAAAGTCATTCTATTCTGAGTCATGTGGTCCAAATGATGTATTTTGAAGACATTTATAATAGTTAGTATTGAAAATTCAAAATGCTTTTTTTGAGTCAGAGTGTCACAAGAAACCAGTATTGCCAGCCATCAATGAAAATGAACAGATTGTTTCACTTGGTCCAGTATTATTCATTTATGTTTCTCTCACTTTTATTAAAAAAAAAACTACAATTTATCTTTAAAGACACAGACTCAATTTCTCTTTTCAGTATCAGAGACCAAACCTCAGGGTGTTGCTCTTAGATAACCATTCTATCAGTAAACTAAATCTTCAACCGCAGGTGAACATATGTTTGACAGCAACGCCCACTATAATCTACCTTATGTTTCAGTCTCTTTACCAACCAGGCAAAGCTGTCTGAGCAAGGAATTCAGAGATTTGAATGTGAAGTATCTGCATAAGCTCATGTCTTTTGGACACTTGGTCTCCAGTTGGTGGTACCTGTTTATAAAGATATAGAACCTCTGGGGAAGTTTGTCATTGGGGGTGGACTTTACCATTTTAGTTGCTCTGTCCTCTTCCTTCTTCCAATTTGTTTCTTATATGTAAAGGAAATGTGTACAGTAAAGCTTCCAGCTCTGGTCATGTGCCTTATTAGCCTGACCTCTCATGCTCTTTCATGCAATAATATACTATTTCCGACTGGAACGCGAAGTAAAAAAAAAATAACTCATTTCTGGCCCCAAGTTTCTTTTCAACTTTCGGCCATTGCATTTTTGTCACAGCAGCAACAACAACAACAAAAATATCGAATGCAGATGAATTATGATAGAAAGCTCAAAAGGGAAACAATCTATGGAGTTGAATAGAATAATCTGAAATTGATAGCTTTTATCCATGAGTCAGTGGGGTAGATTTGTTTTCCAAAGCACAAAGCTTAGTTTCAATTTACTCACTCTCTCCAACTCAAATAACATATCTCTTTCCTGCAGAGAAAGGTAGAAAGTGCTTAACCCATTCATGGGTAATCTATTTGAATTTCTGGAATTCTAAAAGAAAAACAAATATTTGTAGCCCAATGGAAGTCTAAAATAACCTGAAGAAAGGAAGCTCTGAATAGCGTCCTTTTTACAACTCCATAAATAACCGGCTCTTTGGATGGAAGTTTGATTGAAATATTTTTACCTTCCTAGATACTGTGTTTACTTGCACGATTGTACATAATTTGGAGGTAGCAACTGTTTCCATGGCATGTGGAATAC